GTTTGCCTAATGCGACATAAATCCTTAACTCACCTTTAGGCCTTTGTATGGTTCTGTTATACAATATAAGCCCTAACTCATCTTAGAATTTCGAGGTTGTCGTTCATCATGACCTAAACCCTCACATCTTCTAAACTATTTGTGTGATTATTTCACACGAATGTAAGCCCTAATTAATAAAATTGGCATGATGAAACACTCAATAGTTCTATTCTCAAAAATTGAAGTGAAATAATAGGATAGTCAGGGAAGTCACTAAGGTTCTCCTCAGGATCTATGACATCCTCTAGTTCTTCTTTCGTTGGATTCTAAAATAAAATATTTCAAATTTGAGTCATTCCCCTTTCACACCTCTTTGCCCGATTTTGTTGGAAAGTCCTATTCTTTGAAATTTTTGAAGATAATATCCCTTGATTTTTATCGAGAGTTTTCTTAGGTGACTTCGGTTATTTAAGATGTAATTAACTATAGGGGTTTGCCCTTATAAGAAGATTTTCCAAACCCAGCTTAATATAAACCCTATTTAATTTTTCTTATTAAATAGGGGAACTTGTCGGCTTATAATAAAATGGTTTCGCAGGCCAAACAGATATCATATTTTTCTTAGTTTGTTTGACTGAGTCTTATCCTCAAGTCCTGTGTTTATCTTTCGAGATAGATACATAGCTTGAGGTGTAGTGCTCTTTCATCTAAAATTTGAAAGATATGAGATCAGTATGATTTCATATTTTTCTAAACTTAAATATATATATATAAATTAAATGTCCCTCCGAAGCGGGCGACGAGATTCTGATTCCAGCGACCGATCGATTCCATAGGATCACCCCCAAAAAATTGTGCCGACAGAGAGTTTTTCAAAAGTAGAGATTTCAATTTGCAAATGGAAAGAGATTGAAATAGATAAAACTCATTGTCCCCCAATTTACAAGACGGGTCATTTTCTTTTTCATGTCGCATAGTATTTTTTCAAATACCGCCCATTGATTAGAGGTATAATTCTTTCTCCCTAGCAGTTGAACAGATGGTAGGATCCTCCTGAGTATGTCTTTTCGATAATGTACAAGCCCTTCCACGTTGGTTCAAATTTTTCACATATCTTGCGATGTGCAAGAATAGGTATTCAGAGTACCGAGACCAAATTGTCAGTTTGGAACAATCTTGAACGAACCAGCTAGTCATGGGCCTGTATCATATTTGCTTGATACATTTTCAAGTTTTGTTGAGCTTGCAAATGCTTGCCCTCCAAACTTTTAAGTTCTTCGAGCCAAGTTTTTTGCATTTTCTTGTTTGGTTATTTTGTTCGCAATTGCTATTCTAAGAGAGAGTAGTTCTATTGGTAATTTGTGTCTTGAAGAACTGGAAAACCTGATTTGCCTTCATTTCTCTGAGCGGCATTGTCTCTGCCCATTTGAAGTAGTATGTAGTGGCCATAATGAACCGGTGGCCTCTAGATGATGAAAGGCCTATAGGGTCCACTATGTTTGTGCCTCAACACTCAAACGATCACAGTGCAATTATCGAGTGTAGCATATTTGGAGGCTGGTGTAAGACCACCTCATGCACCTGACACTAGTGACACCTTTAAGCAACTTTCAAGCAATTTATCATTATCTCCGGCCAATAGTATCCAAGTCTCTTTATTTTCATTTTCATTTTTGGCTCTGACTGCGTCCTAAAGGCCATAGTGGACTTCTTTAATAATGTCTTGGGCTTTAGATTTGCTTAAACATCGTAGCCACATCTGGAAAAAAAACCGCGGTAAAGGATTTTGTTCTTAGAGTTTAAGACAATGCTCGTTACTTGATTTGGTTTACTATGGAACTGTCTTCCCGTAGTCTCCCAGACTACAAATATTCAATGAACGACTATCACTAATCTTTTTTTTCTTCCTTCTTGATGGCCGCTACTGTCACGTAGACATTTATTTTGTGAAGGGTTGCCCATGTCCTTTTAAGAAAGAACCCGTCATCCTTGTACTGAAATTGGAACATGGTCCTCTGCTGGGCAGGCGAACTCTTTAGGAAGATTTGCCAAAGCGTCTGCTAATAAGTTATCTCACCACAAAACTCAGAAAAACATCACATTTGAGATTTCTTCCCGTAATTTCATCGTGTAGCAAAAGTATTGTTCAAGCCTCGATCTCAGGGTCTTGTATTTCCAACAACTTAGTTGATGATAAGCTGAGACTCCCCATAGATGTTGATGTCTTTGATTTCCATCAAAATTGTAAGTTCTAAATAGTTTATAATTATTTTTTAGCATTTTGATGTTTTAAATTATTTGAACTATTGTGTTGATTTGATACTTTTTTTTAAGAATGATATGACTTATTGTTTGTTAATTTTCTGTTTTTATACATAAATATGATAGTTCGTTTGGGATATTTATATTTCTTTTCAGCTTGTATGCTTAACAATCCTTTATTATTTCTCTATTTTATTAAACAAACTTCTTGTGTTTGTATATACCATATGATTGAATCAAACTTTGTTTGTTACTTGTTTATTATTTTATTTTTCTAGGATCAACTTGTTTTGTACTAATTCTAAATTATTAATAGCATGCTTATTTGGACCCTTAAATTATTTTTAGATATGAAAATTATAGGATTTTATTGATTCTTGTTCCTTTATAAGCTTATTTATTAACTAATTTAAGTACTAGTTTACTAAATTTAGGAGAAGCAATCTAGATTATTAATAATTCTAAACAAGAAAAGTATAATCCAAGCCAGAGCATCAAGTTTTCTAAACAGCCACATGCAAATATAAAATGACACCTCTAGCACTAGTTTATGGAAAATGGTGCCTCTAGAGCAAGTTTCTGGAAAATGGCGCCTCGGGCACCAGTTCTGGCATTATCACCAAAATAAACATAAAATGTATAAATAAAATAGCAATTTATTTTGGCGCATCAAATTACATCTGGGATCGACTTTAAGCCCATATCTTTTTGCTTTAGTTATGGATGGTTTTACTGGACATTTACAGGAGGATGTACCTTGGTGTATGTTTTTTGCTGATGATATCCTTCTTATGGATAAGACGAGAGAAAAAGCCCAGGAAAAACATAAATTATGGAGGTCTACAATGGAGTCTAAAGGCCTTCATTTGAGTAGAACTAAAACTGAATACATGGAATGTAATTTTAGTAGTAGTAGCTCTAGTGACAGAAGTGTAACTTTGGGTGATCAGATTATTAAAAGGTGTGAACGATTTAGATATCTCGGGTCTGTTGTTCAAGATGGGGATGTTAAAGATGGGGATGTTAATAGTACAATTCAAGTTGTTTGGTTGAAGTGGAGGAATGCTTCGGGCCTTTTGGGTAATAGAAAATTGCTGCTTAGACTGAAAGGAAATTTTTATACGACGGTGGTCAGACATGCAATGCTCTATGGCACTGAATGTTGGCCATTAAAAGAAAAGCATAATGCTAAGTTAAGTATTGCCGAGATGAGAATGATTAGGTGGATGAGTGGGTGGATGAGTGACTTTACA